CATCCATCCATCCATCCATCCATCGTTCTATCTATCGTTCTGTCGTTCCATCCATCCATCCATCTACCCATCTATCCATCCATCCATCCACCCACCGATCTATCCATCTATCTATCTATCCACCCATCCATCCATCCATCCATCCATCGTTCTATCTATCGTTCTGTCGTTCCATCCATCCATCCATCTACCCATCTATCCATCCATCCATCCACCCACCGATCTATCCATCTATCTATCTATCCACCCATCCATCCATCCATCCATCCATCGTTCTATCTATCGTTCTGTCGTTCCACCCATCCACCCATCCACCCACCCACCCACCCATCCATCCACCCATCCACCCATCCATCCACCTATCCATCCACCCATCCATCCATCTACCCATCCACCCATCCATCTATCCACCCATTCATCCATCCATCCATCTGTCTTTCAGATGATGTGTCCATCCATCCACCATCCAACTTCCCATCCATACATCTATCCATTCATCCATCCATCCATCTTTCTTTCATAATATGGTGTGTGTAATGTAAAAGATATTGTTGTAAATGCTGACATGTGGGAAAAGCAGGATTGTCAAAGGGACTGTCGGTAGGAGAGTCCAGGAACAGCCCGGGATTCACTGTACGGAGAGAAAGACAGAAACAGAGTAAGACACTTAGGAGTCGTTCCCCTACATGCAATCCATTTAACTACAATTTAACTAGCTGTAAAACTACAAACAAACAAACAAAAACCTCAATATTACCTTCTGTTGGCTCTCCCCCTACAGAGAGAAGAGAGATACAGTCAACAATAGTTTAGATAATTAATAATATAACAATTACAATGATTTTCAGTTTTTAGAGCTAATTTGAAAAAGTCAAGTGTGTTGGTTGGTAGTGTTTTTTTAATGTTTTTGAAAGTCTCTTACCAAGGCTGCTTTTATTTGATAAAATACAGTGAAAACAGTAATATTGTGAATTATTATTATAATTGAAACTCTTTTCTGTTTGAACATATTTTAACCTGGTGATGTAAAGCTGAATTTTCAGCATCATTACTCCAGTCTTCAGTGTCACATGATCCTTCAGAAAAATCTTTTGTAACATTATAAATGTGTTTACTGTCACTTGATCAATTCAATGCAACTTGCTGAATAAAAGTATGCATTTGTTTCATAAAATAATTATGAATGTTTTATTATTTAAACAACATAATTTAGTTTTTCATGACCATTTTTCATCCTCTCACTGTTATTTGTATTTGAATACATTAATTATGTAGATGGTAAATTATATGAATTTCTAAACTATTTATTTTATTTAAAATGTAATGTATCATTTCTTTTCAAATAATTCTTGAATCGCTAGTGTACACTGAGTGACTTACAGGCAGTGGCAGAGGAGGGGCTACGAGGTGTCACTGACTCCGCCTCCTGTATAGTGGGTGTGGCCTCTTTCACTGTGAGTGGTTGAAATGCGACACATGACATCATGTTTCATGCAATAATTTGATGACGTTATGATGATGACAAAACATTTTTAATTGAAAAGGTTTCTAAATCCAGTGGACACATTTAGCTCTGTGTTGCTGGACACATGCTTGAAAACGCAACAAATGCAGACAAATATAAGAGGACATTTTGAGATACTTGATAGAAATGCTTAGACCACAGTTCACATGAGCAGGAAATACAGGCGTTTATCTGGACGCAAGACAAACCAGAATGACTAGTAAAGATTTCTTAACAAGCTAAGCTTGCTTTCATTGTGTGAGGGTTTATGCGAGTATACTTCAGGCACACATTTGTCCCCAAAAGTTAGTTAGCTGTACATAAAAGCAACAGAAGTCTATCATTTGTCCTCATTTAGAGTGTGTATTCTTGCGCTCACCTGTGTCCTGTCTCTTCTTCCTGTTTCTGGGTAAGAGAGAGCTCAGACTCCATCTGTCCGCTGATGAAGAACACAATGAGGGAAATTTATAAATGGGATTAAAAACACAACATCTTGATTTGATTTGAGCTGCTGTCACTCACATTGTCTGGCCGGCTGCTGTCTGTCCACAGCGTGGGATCTTTGCTGTGTTTCTCCATTGACTGTCGCGAGGGAAAACAGACACAAACATGATGTGATTCTTAAAGTAGGTGGAAAATTTCCAAAAACTAGACATGAATCAAACGTCACCTTGTTCTCTGTCCTCTCTCCTCAGTCTTGGTCTGATTGAACTCAAACTCCAGCGGTCTGCTGACAATTCAAAGGAAAACCGCTTTATAAACTGTGAGGTTGGTTTACGCAATGTATATAAACTTGAGTCTGACACCACACTGAAAATCTTTTATTTAAACCTCACCTTGTTCTTCATCACGTGTGCTTCTGCTCTGTGTGCTGCTCTGATTTTCTCTGTCCATGACTACTATGATATTAATAAAACACACAAAACTGAACAACAACAAAATAACTGACACTAGGGTGAATGTCAGGATATGTCTGAGTCATATTTCACTCCAGAATCAAATAGAGGGAAAAAAAGAAAACAT